AACGACCCATTTGGCCAAAACTTTGTCCCAAAAAGAATGACCCATTTGCATTAAAACACCACCGATTTGCAACAATATTTGTGCAAAATTAGCTTTCCCATATAAAAATTTGATTTTTCATGTTATTTTATTACTTTCTCTCTCTATTTTTTTACAAATACTATGTAAATTTATTTTTCCAATATACTTTTACTTCTTTTTACTTAACTTCCTTAATACCCGCGTAATCAACCCAAATGGATCGTTCTTTTTGGGACGGAGGGAGTATAAATTATGAAGTATAAAAATTTGATATTTGAAAATTGAATTTTGAAGTGATTGTTATAAGTATTCACATGACTATATTTTTGCTTATGTATAAATACCAATGTAGGTCAAAATAGGGCAAGAAGGAATAATTCATGAAAATATAGATACTAGGGATATCACCGAACCTTAAATCTTTTCCGTAGCTTAATTTTTTATTTGAAAGGTAAGTTTAACTCATCCCTAAGTAAAGTTTGCTATTTTTTTAAATAAAAAATATGATAAGGCTAATTGGGCCTTGCCGAAAGCTCCTATCACTAGACACGTGGCTGACAATGCCTAGGGGTAAGGGAAGAGAGGCTCGAACCTCTCAGGCTCGCACCCGCAAGGATTCGAGGCGACCCCTGAGCCATTGCACCTGAAGGTCTTCCTCGGGTAGAGTTTGCTAATTGAACTTGGGTTAGAGCACCATATTACATAAAATATACAGGCCCATTTAAAACCCAGAAAGAACACACAAACCCAAACAGCCATAAGTCCATAACCAGCAAATTCAAGCACAAACCATCGATAGGTTTTAGCAGTGAGGAGAGAGAAAGTGTGCTGAAATACTGTAGGCAAACTAAGATCAATTACAATGCAGAGATGGTGTTCCAAGCTTCGAACTTTGGCTCATCTCCCAACAACAATTAGAGCTTCTTCTTCATCTTCTTCTTCTCTTTCAATTCATCGCTTTTACTACCAGTCTTCCTCCAATTTTCAGCGCCCATTTTCACCATTTTCAACAATTTCTTCCCAATTACACTCCCATTTTAATGCTCCTGCTTCTCTGCCGATTCCTACGAATGGGGTTTCCTTTTTGCTCTCTCCTCCTCCATTAAGTTTTTTTTTTTTTTTTTTTTTTTTTGGGGTTAATTTGTGATTTAGCTTGTTGATTTTGGGGAAGTTGTGATTTTTAAATGTTGGGGTTTTTATTTAATGTTTTATTTATTAATCTATGTTGAGGAATGATAGGAAATCCTATGTGGGGTTTTTGCAATTTTGATCTAAGACTAATTTTTGAGATGATTGATTGTGAATTGAGGGAAAGCACATGAAATTTGATGAGGGTTTTCTTTTAAATTGGTTTGTGTTTATGAATATTAAATTTTACATTTGAGAATCTTCTAGTTTTAATTATGCTTTCTTGTTAATGGATAAGAATTTGATTTGAGTTTTATTTGTATGTCATATTATGTGGAATATAGTATGTGCAAGTGAGGAGTTTTTCGGCTAAATCCAAGGAGAAGAAGTGGAAGAAGCTTACACCTGCTACTTCAAGAGTCAAGAAGATCAAGATTAAGGGTTATTCGTAGGTTAACCTTGTCTAGTGTTCTTTCTTGTTTTCCTTTTGTGGATAATATGTTTAAGATTATTGCAATGATGATTTATGAATGGTCTTGATTTGATTAGATCTTTCAAGAGAAGATTCAAGACTTTGAATGACGGGACAATAAGGCGATGGAGGGAAGGCAAGCGGCATAATGCACATTTGAAGGTATGGCTGTACCCTTATGGGTGGTTATTTGGTTAAGCTATTAACTTCAGCTTATATGCATAAGAAAATGAGCTTGATAATTGTGTGATGCAGCTCTATCTAATGTATGCCTCCCTGACTATGGGTTGTTCACAATTCGTAAAAATTTGTCGTCTATTTTTTTTATTGCTCGACAATTGTTGCTGAAAACTGATGTTGCTAGGCTTTTTTCATGTATTGAATAGAATTGTCAGCCGGCCCCATAGAGAACAAGATAGACTATAGAGAATTGTAGCCATTGAATAGGTATAGTAAATGTTTAGATTCGAATCCTTGGAAGTGAAATACACATGGTGTTTAAGAATAGAGGATTTAGAAGTACAGTTGTTGTAGCCTTATAAAGAAGAGACTTCTTGAGTTTAGGTAAGGCTCATAGATGATTCTAGATATGTCTTGCACAAAATGGACTGTATTCTAAAGCCAGAATAGGTTTGCCAATGTTTTCTTTTTTTTTTTTTTTAGCGATTGTGTAGGGAGTTGTGATCCAAGACTATTTAAGCCAGCCCTCGTACCTACTATCTAGGGTTTAAGCTTGTCATATGAACTTGATATATCTGCGAATGGACACAAATCAGTTGGTCCCAGTGCTATATACCAAGAACAAGTACTAGAAGCATAGACAGGGGACGATTGACTTTTCCAAAAATGGCTGAAAGGATCAATTTTAGTGGTCTCTTGTTGCCTGCTGTAAGATGCTCTTCGCAGGAAAAATATGATTTCAACGAAGTTCTATTTCCTAGCAAGTGTAACAACTGTTTGGTTGATTGTAGAAAGTAAGGCCTTCCCAAGAACTTCTAAGAGCTGGTAGTTCTTGTGTTATGTCAACCAACTTAGAGTTTTCCACTTCTTAGGAACTTGTACTTTCTGATTTATATTTTTTGTCAACCAAAACATGCACAGATTATATCACTGCTTGATACATGTGTTGCAGTGTATGGATATGTGAGGGAGGAAAGAGAAGTGGAATGATTTTAAAAGGGGATTTTGTGTTAATACTTTGTCAATGGCTCAATTGCTACTTACTGACAGGGAAAGCATCTGTTTGCACAATTATTTAATTTACAAGTATCAGATAACTGAACCAACATGGTTAGCCTATGAAAGGGGTCTCAAAGATATATAGAAGACTATGTATGAAAATAATGATATACTCTCTTTATCCTCTAGTCGATGACAGAGAGTGAAATTCTCAATTTTGAATTTTGATATCTACTCTGTAGCGCACAACCTGTATCTTAATCCTGAACAAGCTCTGCATAGTGCATCTATGTTTTAAGCTAGACTCTAGCTGGGTACTAAGATTTGTATGTATGCAGTTCAAGCATGCAAGTCCATGTAAGATCCCCCCCCTCTCTCTCTCTCTCTCTCTCTCTCTCTTCTCTTGAGATTTGAAATTGATTTTTTTCGACTTTTTTCTGCTAAGGTTTTGTTTCTCTTAAATTAATGCTTTTATTTAGAAAGTCTTTTAAGTGGGAAAGCCTTGACATTATAAAAATGCTTCAATATGCTTTCAGCTGGATCATTCGACTGAGAGTAGCTGATTCTTGATTAGACTATTAGGTTTTAGTTTTTGCAGCTGAATCGTTATTAAGTTTCTACTTTTTGAAGAATGATTCATCAAGCCTTGGTCTTGGCAATCGTCATACGATAAATTGGGAGAAAACTGGGAAGTGTCATAACTGCAATAGTTTGATTGCATTTTCTTTCTCTAATGCTTTTATGACTTCTTTCTTTGGTTCTCATGAGGGTTGTCAACCATAAAGATCAGCTAAACATTTTGCCTATTTCCTGGCCAGGTTTCTTTTTGCGAATTGACTACTAGGATAGATTATTTTGCTGGTCCACTATCCTAAACAGAAGTCTATCTTATGTTATGGATTAAGCCTAGACAGCTAAACTTGGGGTATTACTGCTTGGTTGCTTGGTAGCAAATGGTGGTAATATTATGAGCTCTTACTTTAGCCATTTTACTCTCGATCTTTCTAACCTGGAATGTCGATTAATAAGTTGGAAAAAAAAATGAAAAGAAAAAGAAAAGCAAATCCTTTCTCACATCACCATATGCACTTTGGGCTCTAGTTTTTCTTACTACATTTTCATTCTTAATCACATCAACTGTTTTTGCAGTACAATTTTAACAAGTCCTAATAATTTTTCTCTTGCCGTTCACTTTCATTTTTCCTAGTATTTAAAGCTAACAAGATTTATTAGGATGGATAGGCTAAAGAGTAAGAAAAAATATGCTAATTCTGAAATAGTTTGTATTTTATGATCCACTTTGTAGTCATTCACTATTACCTATTCTGCAATTTTGAGCTGTTGCATGTAGTAGTTATATAATCTGAATACAAAACATACTTAAATGAGTTTCTTGCTTAATGCAGTCAAAGAAGTCCAAGAGAAGACTCAGAAAACCCGAGATTGTGCCTGCAGCTTATGCAAAAGTCATGAAGAAGCTGAACTTTTGTTCAAATTTCTGAATCAATCAAGCGAAAAAAAGAGTTTTTGTTAACCACTGCCTTCTTTTTTGGTGATGAAGTTCCCCTTCAGGCTTCAATATTGGATTTTACGCATTTCTTCCATATCAAAGATCCTAGTTGCTCTTGTCCCGTTAGACACCATTTACCTTTGCTGCTATTGATTTATGCATGAACTATAAACCTACATAGAATCTTGGAATGTATTTATGTCTTGTTGCAAATTACAATTCCTACCTAATAAGAACACTTTTTTCCGAGACATTTGTTTGTTGTCTTGATTTTTTTTTTTTTTTTCCTTTTTTCAAATTGTTTTATATCTTTGGTTCCCCTCTCATCTTAATCCTCTGACTGAAAATATCATGAATCAAATAATAAATTGGCTCGAAAATGACCCGTATGCGCAATGGGTACGATTATGACTTCTATCATCTTCCGTTATTGCAAGTGTTCAAAGGTATCAATATGATACTATCCACTCTTGCAACTTCTGCAAGTGTACAAGCTTACAAAGATAAAGTAGAGGTGATCAACTCCAATTCGGCTTAAAAATAGGACGGGTTTCAGCATAGCTAAAAACACTATAAACCTAAATACGGGCCCGAAAGCCCACTACTTTTTTTGTGGATTTGGACACGAAATACTTACAATACAGCTCAAGCTCGAACTTCTGGTGAGCTCTAAGTTAAAGGTAGGCCTACATAAGTAGATTCCGTACATCACTTGACCTAATTTCAGATTAACCCTAAACTATTAATGCCAAATTATACCAATTACCTCCAAAATTCCTTGAAAAATTTCCCCAAAATTGAACTCAAGCAAGTAAACTAGCTATGTCAATATTGCAGAAGATTGAAAGTGCATCTGATTCATCCAACACCGTGACTCTTCCAGACCATCTCGTAATTGATCATATTCTCCCAAGACTTCCGGTAAAAACCCTAATTCGCTTCAAATCAGTTTCCAAATTATGGCTTTCTACAATTTCTAATCGTCAATTTGCTGAATCTCATCTCAATTTTTCTTCATCATCTTCCTACGGTCAATTCATATTATTAATTAGAATTAATCGTGAATCATTCAAATTATTGTTATTGCCTTACGATGAGTTCAATAATCTGAAAAGCCCTTTAGATTTAGGTTCTTCTCTATGTTTTAGTCGAAATTTGCGGGATTTTGATATTGTGGGTAGTTCTAATGGCCTTGTTAATTTGTTATGCTCGAGGAACACGAAAAGGCCTGTTCTTCATTTTCAGTGTGTAATCCTGCTACAAAAGAGTATTGCGAGATTAATAATCCTGATTGTCAACAAGGCTTTTCGCGTCAATGTTGGTTCACAAATATTTAATAACATCCGAATTAGTGTAAATCGGGTTGGGCAACTTTAATTTTCTCTCTCTTACTTCAACTCTAAGCAATGGAGTCACTACCGAAATCAGTCGTACCACCGCCGAATCAGCCACACCACTGCCACCACCACCTCAAACTCCCACACAACTCTACTACAATAGGAGTAATGAATTAACCTTCCCGTCATCAATGGCGGAGCTTAAGAATCAAAGCTTAAACATAATATTTTGCTTTTATGCATCAGGTTCTTCAACATTAACATTATCAAGCATAGTAACATGCACATGCAATTCATTTTTGTTGATTTCTGATGTTGATCTTTATTATTTTGATTTGTTTGAGTGATTGTACTGTTTTTCAATGACTATTGTTAATTTTGTGTTTATTTAATACTCTGTTTTTGTGAAAAAAAAAAAAAAAAAAAAACATTTTGTGAAAAAAAAAAAGGTAATTTTTATGAAAAAAAGTCACTTTTATGAAAAAAAGGGGTCACTTTTGTGAAAATATGGTCACTTTTGTTAAAAAACAAAGGGGTCACTTTTGTGAAAATATGGGTCACTATTGTAAAGAAAAAGGGTCACTTTTGTAAAGAAAAAGGGTCACGTTTCGCGAAAATGTTCGATGTACAATAAAATTATTGTAAATTATTGTAAACCGGGGGCATGCAAAAGTTTTTGATGTTGGTTTGGCTACATACCGTCTATAGACGACTACAGGATTGTCGCTTCGTTTAATTTTTACAGTTGCAATGATCGGTTTTATGACTATCGTCAATGTTATTATGTGTTTTCTTTGAGGATTGGGAAGTGGAAAATTATTGATGGTCTTGGTGAGAATCCCTATCGTGTGTATGGTAGATTGGTTAACGCGACAATGGTTATTGATGATGTTTTGTATTGGTCTTTTCAAAAATATTGCTATGCGGGGATACCTGATCGCATTATTGGTTTTGATTTAGCTAATGAGCAATTGAAAGTAGTTCCATTGATGGATTGGTTGAATCAGTATGATGTTGCAAATTTTTTTTGTAATGAAAGTCATTGCTTTGTTATTCTGGTCAAATGCTTGATGTTTGGACGTTGAGTAAACATGATGATTGGAGTTCTTCGGAGAAATTGATTTATTTTCATGATGAAGGCAAGAAGATTATTTTCACTGTCACTTCCACCGGAAAGCTCTTGTTGGGACACTTGAAAGTTGATAGCCAGCAGTTTACGATAATTGGCTCTACTAAGGATACTCGAGAACTATCCCAAAGAGATGCTTACATTACAAAGGAAAGAATATGATAGAGTATATAACATATCCCTGGGCCTCAACCATCAGCTTAAGCTTTTGGTTGAGTTGGTCCTCTAACATGGTATTAGAGCCAACGTGACATAGAGGTCACGGGTTCGAATCTCATCCACCCCTCCTTTAAAGTGGAATTAATTTGCGCCGGGTATGAGAGGGTCTGTGCTGCATCCACATTTCAAGCCCAAAGGGCCTTTCATGTGAGGGGGAGTGATAGAGTATATAACATATTCCTAAGCCTCAACCATCAGCTTAAGCTTTAGTATGGCCAGCTCATGTCAATGTTGGTTATTAATCCCCTCCCCCCTAGTAATGTTGCTACTCTATTGTCTCGGATGTAGTTCATGTATAAATTCACTCCTATTACTGTGTACTTGTGTAGCTGGTCAGTCGACGAGTGGGTGTTTGATTATGCAGCCTGTTAGACCTTACAAGCTTGCAAAAGCAGATACTGTGTATGTAATTGGGTCATGAGTGTAATATTGACGCTTGACCGGACCATCATTATTAGCTTGAAATTTCTCGATTGCTTGATTTCAGTTCATGATATCTTAGTTTGAAGTTGGAGGTTGTGTTCTGCATCTTGCAGGAATTCAAAATATATCAATCAAACTGTTATTGAGTTCTTTGTAGTTCTTAGTGTACAACGAGTGGTTGGTACTTGATAGTTTCCCAAATGCTGCAGTCTGCTTCTGAACAGATTTTGTAGGAGTTATCTAGCTATGTTTCATAGCAATTGTAAACAATTGTTTGGTTGCTCAGTAACAAATGGGTGGGGAAGTTCTGAACTCGTATGTCCTTTTACCCTAGATCTTTCTTTTCTCGTAACCTGATTGATTAGACCTCGGAATCACATCTATGTGCTTCCTCCTATAATACATTGTGAACTTCACATTGGGGACACCAAGTTTTTTTGCTCGTTCGTGCACGTCATTGCTATCTTTCAAGTCTCGAGTATATAGTTTTCTAGCAACAATACATTGTGTTCAAAGAGTTCATCATCTTCCCTGCTGAGCAATCTTGAGTTGTGTAATGCTATATATTCATACCAGTTCCAAAACAATCGCCTTGTTAAATAATTAGATTTTCCTGAATGATATTCCAGTTAATAAATTGAGAATCTGAAAAGTAAAATCCTTTCTCATATGCACTTTGGGCCCTATTTTCTCTTACTACTAATTCATTCCTATTCTGCCGTTTTTGGGCTGTTGCACAACATTCATAGTAGTTGATCTGAATATTAAGCATAGTTAAAAGATTACCTTGCATAATGCAGTCGAAAAAGTTCCAAGAGAAAACTCAGAAAACCCGAGAAATTTGTTTGCTGTCTTGAGCTTTTTGTTTTTCAAATTGATTTATCTTCTTTGGCTTATCTCCCCTCTCTTTGTATGGATTGATACTCTCCTTGGGTTTTGAAGACGGTGCACTAAACTACTAAAGTCATGAGAGAATTGAATTCTCAAACTGAGGAAGTGAGGAGTAAGGGATTATATTTTTTTTAATGTAAGTTTATTTTGATATGCAACTATGGAGCAAGATTGTTTAATACATAGTATATTGATATGTATAGTCACACAAGTAGTAGGATAGTTAATTAGTTATACTATTAACCCCAGTTGGACCCGTTTTAGGTAGATATGAGACTCGATATACCCAGTATATCTAGATCTATCTGGGATTGATTTAGACCAAGTGGATTTGGGTCGTATCTGAATCCAGATATACTCGGTAATAATTAAAAATCTATATATACATCGTCAAGGCTCTTTATTGAGGGGAAGCCATATTTTCCCAAACACTTGTACATGGTATCAAGAGCTCTAGGTTCTAAAAAGGAAAGGAAATAAAAATCATTTCCTTGGATTCTATTTTTTTCCCCAATTTTTTTATTTTTTTTTTTTTTTTTTTTGTAGTATCAATATGTAATTAATTTATAACAAATTAAATTGTAGTTTATTTTGCAATTATTTAGAGGTAACATTATTTTAGAGTAAAATTAACTAATTAAGTATGGGGGCGCTACATTTTGTAGGGAAAATTTAAGTAAGAAGGTTACACATACGAAAAGTTTTATAATAATGACATGTAAGGGTGATACATAGTAATGATGTGGTGCCAAATCAAATCGTGTGTGACACTTGGCGTAGTGGCATTAGTATATCGTCCTAAATTGTTTTAATAATATTATAAATTTTAAATTATAGATATTGTCTTGTTGATATCTATATCTATACTTAGTATTTAAAAACACAAACCATAATTTTTCATATGACACATGTCATCACAAGTCACTCACTACCACACATGACACATGTCACCCCTTTTAATCTTTTAGTTTAAGTCTTTATACATTTTGTAACTTGCAAATTCAATTAAGAAAATGAAGTGTTTCATTTACATCATAATAAAATAAAGTTAAACCAATTAATATACATCACATAAACATATGAATTGAATTATATAAAAATTGTCTTTTTAACTAATAGACTTAAAATATAACTTAAACCAATATGTCATTTCATATCCTATAGTCTTCATGTATATATATGTAACTAAATTCTTTTATCTTTTTCCCCAGTTCTACCCTCATTCTTTTTTTCCTTTTAAGTTTTAGCAATGAAACAATTAGTTCGTATTTCATATCACAAGTTTCAACTACTGAAAAACATACCTACATATGAAATAACCTAAATATGAACCCGTGCATCGAACGGGCCAAAATGCTAGTTAATATTGATTAACAAGGTTTTTCATTTTCATTTTAATTTTTACTAGCCTTCTGGCCCATGCAATGCACGGGTTATTCATAAAAAAATTGCATTGAACGATGAACGAGGAAATATCAATAAGTCATTATAGTTATAATGTGTAATCGAAAACATGATTGAAGAAATTTAATTTTTGGAACTTTGATTGAAAATGAGGGTTAAATAAAGAAGGTGGAGGGCTAAAATTAAAGAGAGAAACGGAAAAGGGTAAATTGAAGAGGGGAGATGAAGATAAAGTGTGCATGGAAGATGAAGTGTGCATGGAAGATGAAGTTTAAATTTAATGAAAAAATTAAAGAAAAATAGTGTAATAAAAAAATAATCTATATCTATACTTAGTATTTAAAAACACAAACCACAAATTTTTCGTATGACACATGGCATCACAATTCACAAGTCACTCATCACCTCATATGCCACATATCATTTCCCTTAATATTTATGTTTAAGATGCATTATACAACTTGCAAATTCAAGTAAGAAAATGAAGTGTTTCATTTCCACCATAATAAAATAATGTTTTAATTAATACATGTTACATAAACATATAAATTATAATAAAAATTGTCTTTTCAACACCTAGACTTTAAATATAATTTAAAATAAATGTCATTTTATATCTTACAATCTTCATGTGCATATATCTAATAACTAAATTCCTTTATCTTCTTTCATGGTTCTACCCTCACTTTTTTTTTTCTTTTAAGTTTTAGAAATGAAACAATCTTCCTACATATGAAAATAATTAACCCAAGTAACAACTCGTGCATTGAACGGGCCAAAAAGCTAGTTATACATAAGAAGACATGTGGCATTTGGGTTGAAGGGAGAAGAAGATAAAGAAGTGTAATATGATAGAGACATGTGTCTTTTTTTGTTAGAGTTTTTAAATACTAAGTATAGATTTTTAACAGCTGTAAATCAATAAAACAGTCTTGACCCTAAATACTGACATATATACTCGCCTGCTTCATTTCGCTTCCTTCCACCTTCATCATAGTGTCATGCATGTAATTTTTGTTATCTAAGCAAGTTATGGTAATGCTTTAAACAACAACACTTGCATCCATGAGACTACTTTGAATTATAATTGGTTATTTTACATTTTTTTTAAAAAAATCTAACAAAATTAATAAATATACACACTATTTTGATGTGAATTATAATCAATAAATGAACAATTATTTTTATTAGGGAAAAAATATAAATATTCCGTCGAAGTAAATTAAAATATGTTGCAAATTATATTAATATTTTTTTTAGGAAAATTATGTTAATATTTTCTACTATAATCATAAATGTTTGTGTGGAGAGGTATATTGTAACACCCCAGTAATTCTCTCTTAAAACTTGTAAATACCCTGAACAAAACCCAAGAGAATTACTGGCGTGTTACCGCCACGTGTTCAAACGTTAAGGCTTTATCAGAAAATAGCAGCGGAAAAACTAAATCAGTTATAAATAAGTTTCAAAACCAAATTAAGTCATACAACTTGGAACCATTAAGGCCCTTATTCAAAACCCAATAAAAAGTAGTAAGTGATTAAATCCAGTGTTCGAATAAATTCAAACCCAAAAGAATTAGTGTCAAATAAAATCGAATTAAAATAAATTCAAACTTGCAAAAGAAATAAAATGCAAACAACCAACACTATACTCAAGATCCCACAACCCTGATGAATGCTGCATGTGTAAGAACCTGTGGTAATTCTGCTCCCCAATATTACAAGTGTAAAAATTGGATCGTCACAGGGTCATTGAAAGGCGAAGGCCATGTCCAAAGAAAGACACACACAAAAGCACGCAGTCAGCAAAGCTAAGTACATACAAGCTGCGAAAACAAATTAAGAAAATACCTAACATGCTACTAATATTCAAGCACAAGCATCATTAAATACAAACTCAATTCACGACTCGATTATCAAATTTATAAAGACCTCACTAATTAATGTTAACTGACTCATTTATTTATTTCATTGGATTTAGCAATACACAAGGTTGTCCAACCCATGTCCCATTTGGAACATCAATAAAGAAAAACCCCATGTCTCCTTTCGGAAACATCAATAAACATCCAACGACCACGGGCGCGACTCCGTGACCGTAGTTAGTATGAGATCTCACCTAACTCCTAGTTTTGAAAAATATTTGAAATAAGAGACTCGCTGATCAACGACCTCGAGAAAAGTACACGGCTAATACCCCATGTACCCCAACCCCTGATTGTCATTACTCCAGAAGTGCACCAATCCAGAGTTTTATTGCTCATCCATCTTGCACTTTACGTGATTTATAGGTTTAGACTTGGTGATGACTCATATGCATAACAATACAATCAATCCAATATCAATTCAATCAAGTAAAACAACTTTTCAATTTCAATTCTTGATTTATTAGTGGCAAGCAACATTTATTATTTATTCCTTTACTACCTCGGTGTATAAACACCTTGAGTGCATAAGGCACCCCAAAACCTTAACCTCGTCTTAGAAGACTTAAATTCTTCCTTTACTCTTCCTGCTTGCATAATCATGAATGAGTAATAAATTAATCATTACACCAATCATATACCTTTGCCTCTAAGCGCACCTTGCATAATTAGAGCACAAATAATACTTGCAATATAAAATAGTGCACGTCATACGAAATTCACAATGTATAACCAAACAATTTAACTCAGTCATCCCTATACATGATACTAAGTTCTCGATCCGTCGTCCTTAAACATGCACCTAAAAGAAAGGTTTCGTAACTTGTACGTAC